CACTGCACTCCAGCCTGGGCGACAGAGCAAGACTCTGCCTCAAAAAAAAAAAAAAGGTTTAATTGACTCACAGTTCTGCAGGCTATACAGCAAGCATGACTAGGAGGCCTCAGGAAACTTACAATCATGGCAGAAGGTGAAGGGGAAGGAAGCACCTCCTTCACGTGGTGGCAGGAGAGAGAGAGAGCAAAGTGGGAAGTGCAACACACTTTTAAACCATCAGATCTCGTGAGAACTCACTCACTGTTACAAGAACAGCAAGGGGGAAATCCACTCCCATGATTCAATCACCTCCCACCAGGCCCCTCCTCCAACACATGGGGATTACAATTCCACATGAGATTTGGGGGAGGACACAGAGCCAAACTGTATCAATATCCCTGTTGTTAAGTGATGCACGACTATAGTTATACTAAAAAATTGTTTGCTGTTTATCTGAAATTCTAATTTAACTGGGTCTCCTACCCTTTATTTGGCAACCTTACTGTGGAAATAAATGAAGACCACCCAAATGAGAACAAACAGAGGCTATTTATTCAGAGCTTGCTACAGAAAGAAAGTCAGCCACCATCATTTGCGGTTGGCAGAGATTCAAAGGCAGGCAGGGGAGTGGGAAAGAGCTTCAGGTGTGCCCTGGTTGGAGGTTATTGGTGGGCTAACTAGCAGTTGGACATGTTATATGATTGGTCTGGGGAGCAGATTTGGCTTTCTCCAGTCAGATGTAAGTTGGAAGCTGGGGCCAAAAAATAGGGCAGTTGTTGATGAAGATCTGACTGTTCTGGGCCAGCTGCTGCAGAGATTGTGGTCTGAATTTCCAAGATAGCTGTTGCAGAGGTGGTAGTTTAACCTGCTATAAAGGTTGCAGCACAGGTCAAAGGACCTGAATAGACATTTCTCCAAAGAAGATATACAAATGGTCAGCAAGCACAGGAAAAGATGCTTGACATTGTTCGTTATTGGGTAAATGCAAATCAAAATCACAACGTGATACTACTTCAAACCCACTAGGATGGCTATAATAAAAAAGATGGAAAATAACAAGTGTTGCTGAGGAGGAAGAGAAAGAAGAACCTTCACACATTGCTTGTGGGAATGTAAAACGGGGAAGCTACTGTAGGAAATAGTTTGGCACTTTAAGTTAAACATAGAATTACTCTATGATCCAGCAATTCCACTCCTAGCTGTATACCCAAGAGAAATGAAAACATATGTCTACAGAAAAACTTGCACACAAATATACACAGCAACATTATATACAGTGACCAAAAAAGTAGAAAGACCCTAAATGTCCATCAGCTGATGAATTGGTAAACAAAATGTGGTACATCAATATAATAGAATATTTTTTTTTGTTTTTTGTTTTTTGACACGGAGTCTCGCTCTGTCGCCCAGGCTGGAGTCCAGTGGTGCGATCTTGGCTCACTGCAGGCTCTGCCTCCCGGGTTCACGCCATTCTCCTGCCTCAGCCTCCTGAGTAGCTGGGACTACAGGCGCCCGCCACCTCGCCCAGCTAGTTTTTTGTATTTTTGGTAGAGACGGGATTTCACTGTGGTCTCGATCTCCTGACCTTGTGATCCGCCCGCCTCGGCCTCCCAAAGTGCTGGGATTACAGGCGTGAGCCACCGCGCCCGGCCAATATAATAGAATATTATTCAGCAATAATAAACAATGAAATACTAATACATGGTACAATGTGGTTGAACCTTGAAAACATTATACAAAGTGAAAGAAGCCAGACACAAAAGGCTACATATTGTATAATTCCATTTACGTGAAATGTCCAGAATAGGAAAATCCATAAAGACAGAAAATAGAGTTTCTTTTAAGGGTGATGAAAATGTTCTGGAATTAGTACTAACGGTTGCACAACTTTTGTGAATATACTAAGAAGTACTGAATGGTATACTTTAAAAAAATACTGATTTTCCTTAGGGGTACATTTTCTAGTCACCACTTTTAATAAGTAAGGTATGTCTTCTAACTTTTGCAGTCCTCCTAAATGTACACTCCCGGGCAGCTGTACAGAATGGACCTGCTTTTGGTCTCTTGTAATTGTCTTATGTTCTACAGACACAGCTTCAGTGTCTTCTATCTCAGTCTGTTAGTTATGACTGGAAAATGCTGATAGAGACCCACATAGAGGACTTTAAAGGTTATCCAGGCCACTTTATAAAATAGACTAGTTCTGGTGATATAGTAAGGACTACAAAACACGCTAAGGGTTTAGGAAGATTTTAAAATAATTATAGTTTTTTTCTCCCTTTCCTTCTGCATTTATTCTCTCTATAGACTTAGAAAAGATGATTGTCATGGCCTCTGATTAGTTTTAATCATCTGGGGAAACCCTGAAAGGCCTTAAATTGCAGCTCTAATGTCCCTTTAGCTGTCTCTGCTTCAACATCTGCAACTATTTTGCTTATATTTGATTTACCTCAAGCAGGGTCTTCCAAATGTGTCTGATCAACCCATCTCCAACAAGCTGGTTGACTTTAAGATGGTAAAAGCTTTATATCTTACCTTTCTCACTGCTCTGAACACTTTGTCAAAGGCCTATTGGTATTATATGTTCTAAACTAGCCATCCTCAACACCAGATACAAATTTAAATAACCTGAGAAATACTTTTTAAATGCTCATAAATAAATGACTAAGCCCCAGACCCAGCTTAATTGTCCTGGGGTGGAGCCTGATAATCGATATCTTTGTGTGTTTTGTTTTTTGGTTTTTTTTTGGTTTTTTTTTCTGGAGACAGAGTCTCACTCTGTCACCAAGGCTACAGTGCAATGGCACAATCTCGGCTCACTGCAACCTCTGCCTCCCAGGTTCAAGCAATTCTCCTGCCTCAGCCTCCTGAGTAGCTGGGACTACAGGCACTTGCCATCATGTCCAGCTAATTTTTGGTTTTTCTTTTGTTTGTTTGTTTATTTGTGAGACGGAGTCTTGCTCTATTGCCCAGGCTGGAGTGCACTGGCGTGATCTCGGCTCACTGCAAGCTCCGCCTCCTGTGTTCATGCCATTCTCCTGCCTCATCCTCCTAAGTAGCTGGGACTACAGGTGCCCGCCACCATGCCTGGCTAATTTTTCATATTTTTAGTAGAGATGGGATTTCACCGTGTTAGCCAGGATTGTCTCGATCTCCTGACCTTGTGATCCGCCCACCGCAGCTTCCCAAAGTGCTGGGATTACAGGCATGAGCCACCGTGCCTGGCTTAATTTTTGACTTTTTGTAGAGATGGGGTTTCACCATGTTGGCCAGGCTGGCCTTGAACTCCTGACCTCAGGTGATCTGCCTGCCTCGGCCACCCAAAGTGCAGGGATAACAAGTGTGAGCCACTGTGCCCAGCCAAAAATCAGTATTTTTTAAATGTTCTACTAGGCAATTCCAATGGGCAACTAGGGTTGATGAAAACTGCACCAAAAACACAGCTATTAGAATGATCAAAATCCAGATCACTGACAACAACAAATGCTGGGGAGGATGTGGCGCAACAGGAACTCTCATTCATTGCTGGTGGGAATGTAAAATGGTAAAGCCAATTTGAAAGGCAGTTTGGCAGTATTTCTTACAAAACTAAACAAACTCTTACTATTAAGTCCAGTAGTTATATTTCTTGGTATCCACCCAGAGGAGTTGAAAACTTGTGTCTGGACATGGATGTTTATAGCTTTTTTAAAACAGCATCTTTAAAGGCTTTCCAGATAATCTTAACATCTCTGGTGTCAGTTGTTTGTCTTTCTCCATTTGAGATTCCATAACTTCCTTTTTTTTATTTATTTATTTATTTTTGAGCTGGAGTCTCACTCTGTCGCCTAGGCTGGAGTGCAGGGGCTCGATCTTGGCTCACTGCAACCTCTGCCTCCTGGGTTCGAGTAATTCTATGCCTCAGCCTCCCGAGTAGCTGGGATTACAGGTGACCACCACCATACTCAGCTAATTTTTGTATTTTTAGTAGACACAGGATTTCACCATCTTGGCCAGGCTGGTCTTGAACTCCTGACCTCGTGATCTACCCACCTCAGCCTCCCAAAATGCTGGGATTGCAGGTATGAGCCACTGCGCCTGGCCGAGATGCCTAACTTTCATGGTTCTTCGTATTCTGAGTAATTTTGAATTACACGCTAGACATTTTGAATATCAGGTTTGAGACACTTGAACAATTTCTTTTTGTTTTGTTTTAGACACAGGGTCTCACTCTGTTGCCCAGGCTCGAGTGCAGTGTGTGATCATAGCTCACTGCAGCCTTGAACTCCTGGGCTCAAGGGATCCTCCTGCCTCAGCCTTCACAGTAGCTAGGACTACAGGCATGTGTCATCATGCTCAGCTATTTTTAATTTTTTTTTGTAGAGACAAGGTCTCACTGTGTTGCCCAGGTTGGAAACCCCTAGCCTCAAGCCATCTATCTTCTTACTTCAGCACGCAAAAGTGCAAACCGCGCCCAGCCTACACATTTGTAAAATAGCATCTTTAAAGGCTTTCCCACATAATCCCAGCATCTCTATCTTAGCAGTCGTGTTGGTTGTCTTTCCCCATTTCAGTGGCCCTATTTTCCTGGTTCTTCATATTCCGAGTAATTTTGAATTATATGCTAGACATTTTTAATATCTGATTATAAGACTCTTAGTCTTGTATAATGCTATGGGGTGTGTTGCTATTTCTGTTTTAGCAGGTGGTCTACCTCGCTTCACAGGCAGCCACCATGGTCCTTGTTCCTATGGTGGGGCCAGAGCAAGAGAGGGCCCTGGACGAGAGGGTGGCTCAGTTGAAGGTGGAATGAGTTTTGAGGGGAGTACTATTTGAGGTATTTGAGTACCCGAGGCATATGAAACTGCCGAGGGAGGTCGGATTCCATTATCTCCACGGGAATGAAAATCGGGAGTGTGGGGTGTGCTGCTGGGAACTGCAGCCCCCCTCCTCCCCCCTACCGCGGTAGCTGCGCATGCTCCTTGGGTGCCGGCCTCAGTGAGCATGCTCACTGGGTGTCTTCCCGTCGGCCACTTCGCCCACGTGGAGAACGCCAGGGAGCTGTGAGAGTGTGCAGTCACGTTCCTGCTATCTGGACACTTTTTCATCTACTGAGACTCAGCTGGTAGGTCCACAGGCCAGTCCTCCTGGGGGCTGAAGTGTGAGTGAGGGTGAGGAGGAGCCAGTGGGCTTAGGGCAGGTTCGGTGGGTCCTTGGTGTAGTGATCTGTGGCTTTTGAGGGAGAAGGGCCTCAGTGGCCTCCGAAAGAGAAGGGCCTCGAGCTCGTCCTCCTTCTCCTCACAGGCTGCGACACCACCATTGACTTTGTGGTCATGAAGGGGCCAGGACAGGGAGGAAGGTGGGCCGTGAAGGGGAGGCGGTCAGGGGCTCAGGTGAAAATGGGGCGAGTGTTGCGGGTGCTGTTGGAGGGGGTCAGAGTCCCGAGGTGATAGGAATCCATGACACAGGGCACATTCCTGAATCCTGAATAGGGCCCTGGGGCGGGAGGTGGGTGGTGAAGATGGCGGTCAGGAAGGGGCCTGGAACCTGGCAAGGCTGCGGGCTGGTGAGTGCCCCCCAGTGGTGTGGAGTGGGGAGTGCCTGAGTGAGAAGCACCCGAGTGAGAGGCGTGGCGAGGTCTCACCTCTGCCATGGAAGGTCCGGAAACAATGGGAAGGACTGGGAGAGGCTGTGCCGTCCAACCAAACTTGATTTGGGGGGAGTGAATGGCTCTAGTAAGTGGGAGTGTGCCAAAAGCAGCAGTCACGGGAATTGTGATTCACTAGTGTTTTCATGTGGAGTCCGCTTGTGAAACTAAACCTCATCAGAAATGCCCTCTGTCAGGGGGGTGTAGTGGTGCGTGCCTGTAGTCCCAGCTACTCCAGACGAGGCAGGAGGATCGCTTGAGCGGGAGGTCGAGGCTGCAGTGAAGTGTGATCACGCCACTGCATTCCAGCGTGAGCAATAGAGCGAGATCCTGTGTCTAAAAGAAATTTTAAAATAATGTCCTCTGCCTTTTCCACACGCCTTAAGATGACTGCACTGCCAGCTTGGGGAGCATAAGTGGCTTTGCAAGCACTCAGAAAACGTACACACTTACACTTAACTCTGGGACTTATTTTGAGAGTATTTTCAAAATTAAAATGACAAGTTAATATTTAGCCATGGAAGTGATCGAATATAGCTGTCCTCTCAAGTGCATGTTCCCAGTCACGGTTTTCTCTTTTCAGTGTGAAATATGGGTTTTCGAAGAAAATTAATCTATCGGCGTAGACCAAGAATGTTTGTAGAATCTTCTGAGGTAATTGGGCCTATGCTGTTGAGCGCTTTAACGTTAATTCGATGTTTTCTATTAGCAGAAATTAATTTTTGTGATAGTGTTGTTGCATTAGTATAGATACACTAATAAAGGTAGTTCATGCTGATAAAAAATGATTCTGGCATCTCGTGAAGGAAATATTGATTCAGGAGGATTACACTAATAAAGGTAGTTCATGCTGATAAAAAATGATTCTGGCATCTCGTGAAGGAAATACTGATTCAGGAGGATTTTTTTCTCTTGTGTTCTCCAACTTTTGGCCATGACTTCCTTCTCATGCTTTGCTTGTTAATGACACATAGATTATACACATCTATTCCAACATAGAGTATAATCGCTTCCAAAGTCCTTGTGGGTAACTTTTCTCACAGTAACCTTTCTGTGGGTAGAGTAGCCTTATTAACCATATAGAATAAAGTTGGAGAAATGTCTTTAGGTTTAGTTATGATCAGAAACATCTATGCATTTTCTGTGTGTATATGTGTATATATTTTTTGACATGTATTAATAAAACTTTTTGTATTTGCACACTCACACACGTATGCCCTACCACGAGCAGTCCAGTGATGAGCAACCTGAAGAAGTGGAATCACCAACTCAAAGTCAGGATTCTACTCAAGAGGGAGAGGATGAGGGAGCATCTGAAGCTCAAGGTGAAGGGAAAGGGAAGAAGAATGCCTGTTGGGGTGTGTGTGTGTGTGTGTGTGTGTGTGTGTCTCATGCATTGTCACATACCAGGAACAGGAGGAATGAAAACGATGCAAAAGATGCCTAGAAATTGACTGGAAGAGTGAAGAGGGTATAGTTTGCAGCTTACCTTAGGGAAATAAATCCCTCACTATGATAAAATTTCTCCACTTTATGAATGAGAGAACAAAGGCTCGGAGATTGTGTTTTGTCCAAGAACACTTGACTGGTGAATACAAAATTTGTGTTTTGTTCCAAAGTTTGTGTCTTCCTACCATCTATGTTGCTGTAACAATAGTAAATGATTTTGCTGAAAGTGCTTAAAACTCAAATGCTTTACTGTAAGGTAGCTTAATACTGGCCCAGGAATAGACCCAGTTCAGAGGAGCAGGAGCAACTCCAAAAACTGAGTTGCTCATTGCTGGCCACCATTTCCTTTGATATTTTTATGTGGTAAGTTTGATGAAAGCTGGAGAATTCAGGATACTGCCATACAGGTAGCTGGTGTAGTATGATTTTTTAAGTGGCTTTTAGGAAGTGATTAAATCCTTTTATGGTTAGAAAAACCAAAAAAAAAGGAATTATCCTGAGATTAACATGAGATGGAAATAACTTCTCCGAGATAAAATATTTTGAAGCAAAACAATTACGAAACTCAGGTCATGGATTATTCTAAGGATTTACTGTTAAAAGTTTCTAGAATATGACTGACAACAATGCTCATTAATTGCTGTCCACCCACTCCCTTATTCTCAGTGCGGGACAGTATATTTTGTGTGATTCACAAACAATGTTATATTTGGTGCTTTGTTCTTCACGGGGTTCATTTATGGAATATTACATTTGGGACCTTCGGACCTAAATATAACTTTGTTTGAACAAAGTTAAGTTTCTGTTTACCCCAGTAGGTAATGGGTGTCATGACTGTAAGATTTTCCATAGTCCTCAAATCCATTCAGCTAATCAATCCTTCAGAAATTGACATTGTAATTGTAACTGAAATCCTGTCCATGTTGTAGACTTCAGAGTTCTTAGGTGATGCACACTGCTCTTGGTACTCTGTGGCTGAATATAAGCATTAAACATGTCCTGTGGTTTATCCTCAGATTGTCATTTAGTAGAAAGGTCTCAAACTGGGCTTAGGGCCGTGCAGTCATAGTCTCAGCTACTTGAGAGGCTGAGGTGAGAGGATCGCTTGAGTCTAGGGTTCAAGACCAGCCTGGGAGACATAGTGAGACCTCATCGCAAATAAATAAATGAATTAATTAATTAATGTTTCGTTATATAGGAAAACAAACGTGTAAAGTTTGTTCTTAGTTGCTGGTAATGTTGCAAACATAACTCCTTACTGAACTATAACACTTAAAATTAGTTACCATGGTAAATTTTATGTTATGTGTATTTTTTACCACAATTAAAAAAAAAAAAAACTTCTGTCTTCCTAAAGTTCAGTGTAGTTGTCATATATTCTTACAAGTTTTTACTTTATATATTTTCAAGACATAACATTTGTAGAAAATTTGCAAGAATAGTACAATTAACTCATATACTTTTCACCTAGATTCACCAGTTGTTAATAGCTTTTGCTCCATTGGTTTCATATCTCTTCCCTCCCTCTCTTACCCTGCTGCCCACGTACTCACATACACACTTATGGATATTATGTTTACTCTTACTAATGCTCCATTGTTCAGATAAAGTTTCAGGTATTACAGCCCTTTACCCTAAGTACTTGAGAGTGTTTATATATCCTCAGAACAAAGAAAAAGTCATTTCTTGGATAATCACTGCACAATGATCAAACTCAGGCAATTTAACAATGAGAACCTGCAGTTATTTAATATACAGAGTATACGCAGATTTTGCCAGTTATCCAGATAATTTTCTTTTTTCTTTCTTTTTTTTTTTTTTTTTTTCAGACAGAGTCTCACTCTGTTGGCCAGGTTGGAGTGCAGTGGCAAGATCTAGGCTCTCTCTAACCTCTGCCTCCCAGGCTCAAGAGATTCTCATGCCTTAGCCTCCTGAGTAGTTGGGACTACAGGCAAGGGCCACTGCACCTGCCTAATTTTTTTTTTTTCTTTTGTATTTTTAGCAGAGCCTGGGTTTCACCATGTTGGCCAGGCTGGTCTCTAACTCCTGACCTCAGATGATCCGCCCACCTCAGTCTCCCAAAGTGCTGGGATTACAGGTGTAAGCCACCACGCCCCGCTGGCTGATACTGACATTTTTCAAGAGGATAGACCAGTTGGTTTGCGGAATGTTTAGCACTTTGGGCTTTTTCATGTAGTTTCTAAAGAGTGCTTTTTCACTCACCATTTATTGGTGGCTACTCATGCCATATGCTAGGAGTCTAAATGCTAATGAGAGACAGGATGTCAGCCTTGAATCATTTAATATGATAAGGACAATCAGAAATACAATAACAGAGAAGTGCAAAGGAGGCAACAAAGTTGTCTGAGGGCAGTCTTCGGAAAGGAAGAGGGTAATATTTGGAAAACCCTGTTTTCCTGTTTTCTGCCAACAGACTCCTGAAATAATGTTCTTGGAATTTTTATCAACACGTTTATTATTACAGTAGCTAAAGCTTTTATTTAGTAAGACCAAGAGCATGAATATTATTTTCTTATTCATATTTCATGTGTTGCTGCTTAAAATGATAATTTTGTTTTATCTTCAAGGGCAGGAGCCTGAAGCTGATAGCCAGGAACCGGTGCTGCCGAAGACCAGCTATGAGCTTGAAGATGGTCCTGATGCCAAGAAGGTGTGCCTGCGAAACCCAGAGCAGATGAAACTGCCCGCAGAAGGTAGGTAGTCCATTAAGCATGCAAATTGTAGGGTGTCTGTTTCCACAGTATTATAATTTTCTTTTTTTTTTCTGAGATGGAGTCTCACTCTGTCACCCACGCTGGAGTACAGTGGCCCGATCTTGGCTCACTACAACATCCATCTCCTGGGTTCAAGTGATTCTCCTGCCTCAGCCTCCCGAGCAGCTAGGATTACAGGCATGTGCCACCTCAGGCAGCTAATTTTTGTAATTTTAGTAGAGACGGGGTTTTGTCATGTTGCACAGGCTGATGTCAAACTCCTGACCTCAGGTGATCCACCCAGCTTAGCCTCCCAAAGTCCTGAGATTACAGCCCTGCCACAGCACCTGACAAATAAATGTTTCTCTTTTTTTTTGTATTTTTAGTAGAGACAGGGTTTGACCACATTGGCCAGGCTGGTCTTGAACTCCTGACTCAAGTGATCTGCCCGCCTTGGCATCCCAAAATGTTGGCATTAAAGGTATGAGCCACCATACCCGGCCCAGATAATTTCCTTTATAGAATTTCTTTTTCTGATCCAGAGTCCAGTTCAGGATCACGTCTTGCATGTGCTTGTCATGTGTTTTTAGTTTCCTTTAATCTGAAATGTTTCCTTAATTTTGCTTTGTCATTCAGGATACTGACATTTTGGAGAGGATAGACAAGTCGGTATGCAGAATGTTCAGGATTTGGGGATTTTTCATGTATTCTTTGAAGACCTTTTTTCACTCGGTGTTTATTGGTGTCTACTCATGCCATGTAGGAGTCTAAGTGCCAGGAGTGAAGTGCTATGAGAAACAGGGTTTCCCCCTTGAGTCATTTAATATGATAAGGACAATCAGAAGTGGAATAACAGAAGAGTGCAAAGGAGGCAACAAAGTTGTCTGAGGGCAGTCTTCGGAAAGGAAGAGGGTAATATTTGGAAAACCCTGTTTTCCTCTTTTCTGCCAACAGACTCCTGAAATAATATTCTTGGGATTCTTATCAACACATTTATTATTACACTAGTGTAAGCTTTTATTTAATAAAACTGAGAGCATGAATATTATTTCCTTATTCATATTTCATGTTTTACTGCTTAAATTGATATACATATACATGTACATATATACATGTATATATATATGTATTTTTTTTTTAAGGGCCAGAGCCTGAAGCAGATAGCCAGGAACAGGTTGACCCGAAGACTGGGTGTGAGCGTGGAGATGGTCCTGATGTCCAGGAGTTGGGCCTGCCAAATCCAGAGGAGGTGAAAACACCTGAAGAAGGTAGTCAATCCATTAGGCATGCAAATTGTAAGGTGTCTGTTTCCGCAGTATCATATTATAATTATTATTATTTTTTTGAGACAGTCTCGCTCTGTCAACCAGGCTGGAGTGCATTGGTGCCATCTTGGCTCACTGGAACTTCTGCCTCCTAGGTTCAAGTGATTCTCCTCCCTCAGCCTCCCAAGTAGCTGGGATTATAGGCGTGCTCCACCGTGCCCAGCTAATTTTTGTATTTTTAGTAGAGACGAGGTTTTGCCATTTTGCATAAGCTGATCTCAAACTCCTGATCTCAGGTATTCCACCCGCCTCAGCCTCCTGAAGTGCCAGGATTACAGGCATGAGCCACTGCGCCTGGCCCAGTATTATGTTTTTAATAACACAGAGGTGACAATACTGCCTCTTTAATAATAGAGTTCTTATATAAAGGTTATTTGAAACGTAGTTCAGGTTCCAGCACCCAACTTAGAGACTGTCAGATACAGAAACAAACTGAGTCAAAGCCATGTTGAATTAAAAGTTTTCAGTATAAATCCTTGAACCAATAGCTCATAATTTTCAGATGCTTTTGTAAAGATCTGCTTTTAACAAATACATAACACATTTGTAACACCCATCACTTGGTGTGAAATATGCTGAAGCACTGATGCAGATTCTAATACCAGCTCTTACAGCATTGGTGATATTCTGAGCAAATCCCTTACCTTCTAAACCTGTCTTTGGTTTTATGAAAATAGTGAGTTTAAGTCAGATATTTTAAAATCCTTTTCCCTTCTGGTTCTTTCACACTCTGATCCTGTTGCATAGAATGCATGGGATACAGAGATCATCTGTTTTGCATGATTTGTGTATCATAAATCATCAAATCCTGGCCTGAGTCATCTGAAAACCTCTGAATTGAGATTTCATCGCTACTAAGAAAGTGAGCGGGCACTCTGCTTCATGTTAGTTTTTCTGTGTGGAGACCTGAATGCCTATTCTTAGGTTCTGTCAATTTTTGAATTCTCTGGCTTTTTTTTTTTTTGTATGTGTGTGTGACAAATCTCACTCTGTCACCCAGACTGGAGTGCTGTGGTGTGATTTCAGCTCACTGCAACCTCGGCCTCCCAGGCTCAAGCGATCTTCCCAACTCAGCCTCCTGAGCAGCTGGAGCTACAGGCACAAGCTGCCATGCCTGATTGATGCTGTTTTTTTTTTTTTTTTTAATTTTGTACAGACGAGGTCTCACTGTGTTGCCAAGCTGGGATTCTCTGGCCCTTAATGAATAGTTGCTTTTTAAATCTTTCTCCAAGGAAACCTTGAGTGAGGGAATAATCAAATGGTGAGAAACCATTTAGTTTCTATTTTCTGTGGGATGTAGATCAGTGATCCTCAGCATGGGTGTGAGTAAGATGTCTGTGCTATTCACGTTCCCTGCCCCACTGTCAGTCTTCATGAGCCAGTATTTCTAATAAGACTGTCGACACATATGTGATCTCTAACCATATCAAATGTTAGATGTAAGTTTCAGCTTTTGAGGCATCAGTTGGTAAGATTTGAAGTTCAAAGACCATGACTCCAGTACTTTCTGAGTAATCCACTGAAGTATGTTTTACACATGTGTTTTCCAAATTGCTGACTGTTAATTATAAGTGCTTCTGGATTTAAAGGAAGCACTTTATGTTTACGGAATTAATTACCTTTAAATTCTACATGTCTACCCTCAAAGTTTATACAAGGTTTACTTGGCTATAAGACACAGGATCGCCCTTAGGGTTCTATTTGTAGTCCATTTTACAAAACCCAAATTGTAGTGTCCTTTGTATGCCTTTAGGGTCATCTAAATAATCTGCTGCTAAGTCATGTTCCTAACTGTTATGTATCTGTTACAGATGAAGGGCAATCACAACCTTAAAAGAAGACACGCTGAAATGATGCAGGATGCTCCTGTGTTGGAAATTTGACCATTAAAATTCTCCCAATAAAGCTTTACATCCTTCTGCAAAGAAGTGTTGTGCATCTTTTGTTAATTTTATTTCCAGGTATTCGATGCTCTGAAATGTGTATCATTCTTTGACATTTTATATGCTAGCTGTTTGAGCTGGTATGTAGAGGCATAATTCCTACATACTGAGTTTCTATCCAGCAACCTTGTTAAACATGCTTAGTAATTCTAAAAGTTTACTTATAGATCCTTTTCAGTTTTCAACATACAGATTCATATCATCTTTGAATAAGAACAGTTTTGTTTCTGCCACTTTTTTTTCTGTTTTCTTTTGTATTTTTTGTAAACATGTGATTTTGCCATGATGCCCAGTTTGTTCTTGAACTCCTGAGCTCAAGTGATCCACCCATCTCGGCCTCCCAAAGTGCTGAGATTGCAGGCATGAGCCACTGCGCCCGGCCTGTTGCTGCCATTTTAAACACTTTTATTTCTTTTCTGATTCTAGGGGCATTGGGCAGACCCACCTGGTATAATGGTGATAGTGGATCCCTATCTTATCCCTGATCAGAAGTGGAAAAATTTCAACATTTCAACATGATATTTGCTGTACTTTTTTTGTAGATTGACTTCAACAGTCAGTCATTCCATTCTGTTCTAGTTTGCTGAGAGTATTCATTTTGAATATATGTTGAGTTTCATCAAACACTGCATCTATTGTGATTATCACAGCATTTTTTTCGTTAATCTGTTAAAGTAGTGAATTAGATTGATAAATTTGTACTTTTTTGTTTTATATTTTTAAAAATTGAGAGAGGGTGTCACTCTGTCACCTAGGCTGGAGTGCTGTGGTGTTATCACAGCTCACTTCATCCTCGACCTTCTGGGCACAAGGGATCCTCCCACCTCAGCCTCCTGAATAGGCCTATAGGCACATGCCACCATGTCTGGCTAGTTTTTCTATTGTTTTGTAGAGATGAGATTTTGTCATGTTGCCCAGGCTGCTCTCGAACGTCTGAGCTCAGGTGATCTGCCCACCTCAGCCTCCTAAAGCACTAGGATTACAGGTGTGAGCCTTGGCCTGACCACGTTTTTCTTATATGAGGGGGTGGCCTGCCCCTCCACACCTGTGGGCATTTCTCGTCAGGGGAAACGAGAGACTTGAGAAAAGAAAGAGGCACAAAGTACAGAGAAACGAAAGTGGACCTAGGGGACCAGCGCTTAGCATACGGAGCACTGGGTCCTTCAGTATTTATTGATCATTATCTTTACCATCTCGGAGAGGGAGATGTGGCAGCACAGTAGGGTAATAGTGGGGAGAGGGTCAGCAGGAAAACATGTGAACAAAGATCTCTGTGTCATAAATAAGTTTAAGGAAAGGTGCTGAGCCTTGATGTGCATGTATACAAACATCTTCACAAACACTTTTGTGCATTAAAGAGCAGCATTGCCCCGAGCACGTCTCACCTCCAGCCCTAAGGCGGTTTTCTCCTATCTCAGTAAACAGAACATACAATCGGGTTTTACACTGAGACATTCCATTGCCCAGGGACAAGCAGGAGACAGATGCCTTCCTCTTATCTCAACTGCAAAGAGGCCTTCCTCTTTTACTAGTCCTCCTCAGCACAGACCCTTTACGGTGTCGGGCTGGGGGACGGTCAGGTCTTTCCCTTCCCACGAGGCCATATTTCAGATTATCACATGGGGAGAAACCTTGGACAATATCTAGCTTTCCTAGGCAGAGGTCCCTGTGGCCTTCCGCAGTGTTTGTGTCCCTGGGTACTTGAGATTAGAGAACCATGATGACTTTTAACAAGCATACTGCCTTTAAGCACTTGTTTAACAAAGCACATCCTGCATAGCCCTAAATCCATTGAACCCTGAGTAAACACAGCACAAGTCTCTGCAAGCACAGGGTTGCGGGGTAGGGTTACAGATTAACAGCATCTCAAGGCAGAAAAATTTTTCTTAGTACAGAACAAAATGGAGTCTCTTATGTCTACTTCTTTCTACATAGACACAGTAACGGTCTGATCTCTTTTTCTTTTCCTCACACTTATATAGGGGGCTTGTCTATGTAAAGACTCAACTTGCCCGTACCTTTGTGTGAGTGGAATAACAGCATGACGAAATTTATCGTTCTATTGATTTAAAGAAAACTATCCTTGACTTTCTAGTATGTAAGTCCATCAAAGCATAACTATAATTATTTTGAAAGCATATATTGTTATGGGTATTGGGACCCCTGCACTTTCCGCTGCTGTGGGAGTATGTCCTTCTAGGTATCTTTAGTCTGTTTTCTCAATTGCAAACATCTTAGGACCGTGGGTTGTGACTAGCAAGGAATGTGCCTTGCTAATTTCAAGATGGAGTTGATTTTCAAGTGGGGTCACTCTGGCTGTCCTAGGTTCCCGTTTCCCTAACATTTTCACTTCTTCTGTGATTCTGATGCTACAAATGATAGATATTTTTAGTATTTTCTTACAGGTCCGTGAGGTTGTATTCCTTTTTCTTTCACTTTCTTTCTCTGACTTGTTCATATTGAACAATTTCTTTTTGTTTTGTTTTAGACACAGGGTCTCACTCTGTTGCCCAGGCCGGAGAGCAGTGGTGAGATCATAGCTCACTGCAGCCTTGAACTCCTGGGCTCAAGGGATCCTCCTCCCTCAGCCTTCACAGTAGCTGACTACAGGCACATGTCATCACACTCAGCTATTTTTAATTGTTTTTTGTAAAGATGAGGTCTCACTATGTTGCCCAGGCTGTTCTCAAACTGCTAGCCTCCAGCCCTCTGTCGTCTTACTTCAGCCTGCAAAAGTGCTAGGATTATTGGTGTAAGTCACTGCTCTTGGCCAAATAGAACAATTTCTTTTTATCTGTCTTTGTGTTCACTAACTCTTTGCTTGTCTCCATTCTGCTATTGAACCCATTCAGTGGGAATTTTTTCTTTGGTTATCATATCTTCTATTTCTAAACCTTCCATTTGTTTCTTCTTTAAATATTCTTTTTTTTTGTGGCGGGACTTTCTGGTTTTTTTCTTGTTGCAAAAGTGTGCATGATTGCTGTTTAAGCACCTTTATTCATAATTGCCAAAACTTGGCAGCAAACAAAGTGTCCTTCAGTAGGTGAATGGATTAGTAAACTGTCTACAGATAGTCAGTGGAATATTATTCAGCCATAAAGTGAAATGGACTATCAAGCCATGAAAAGACATGGAAGAAACTTTAATTTCTATTACTAAGTGAAGGTAGCCAGTCTAAAAAGGCTACATACTGTATGATTCCAGCTATATGATATTATGGGTAGGGCAAAACTATGGAAACAATAAAAAGATCAGTGGTTGCCAGGGGTTATAGAGCAGGAAGGGATGAATAGGTGGAACATGGAGGATTTTTAGAGCAGTGAAACTACTCTGTATGATACTATGATGGTGGGTACATGTCATTATACCTTTGTCCAAACTTATTAAATGTACAACACCAAGAGTGAATCCTAATATAAACTATGGACTGTGGGTGATAATTATATGTCATTGCAGGTTGAATTGTAACAAATGTACCACTCCTTTGGGGGATGTTGATAATGGGGAGAATTGTGCATGTGTTGGGCCCAGGAGTATATGGGATATCTCTATACCTTCCTCTCAATTTTGATGTGGTCCTAAAACTTCTCTTGGAAAAAGAGTCTGTTAATTTTTTAAAAAATTAATAAGTACTGAAAAAATTTAAATATTCATTCCTGGGCCAATTAAAAGATAGAGATTAACAGAGTGGATAAAAATAATCAAACCATATGCCATGTACAAGAAACTCATTTCACATATGACCACATATGTAGATAGAAACTAAAAGAATGGAAAAACAAATGCAATGCAAACATTAATTTTTTAAAAACTGGGAGTGGGCCAGGTGTGGTGGCTCACACCTGTAATCCCAGCACTTTTTTAGGCTGAAGTGGGCGGATCACGAGGTCAGGAGTTTGAGACCTGCCTGGCCAATATGGTGAAACCCTGTCTCTACTAAAAATACAAAAATTAGCCGGGCATGGTGGCACACGCCTGTACTCCCAGCTACTCGGGAGGCTGAGGCAGAAGAATTGCTTGAACCCAGGAGGCAGAGGCTGCAGTGAGCCAAGATCGTGCCACTGCACTCCAGCCTGGGTGACAGAGTGAGACTCCATCTCAAAAAAAAAAAAAACAAAACTGGGAGTGACTGCATTAATATTCGGTAAAGTAGACTTCAGAGCAAAGTGAATTACTAGAAATGAAGAGGGACATTACATAATAAAAAGATCAATCCACCAAGAAGACATAATGATATCAACTGAGGCAGAAAAAAAAAAAACACTTAGCAAACCATGAATACAGTGGAATTTCTTCAATTTGATACAGTTCAGCTACAAAAATCTAAAAATCATACTTAATTGTGAAAGACTGAATGTTTTCCCCCAAGGCCAGGAAAAACCCAAGGATGTATGTATCTCACCACTGTTATTCAACATACTACTGGAAGTTCTAGCGGTGGAATAAGACAAAAAAAAAAAAAAGAAAGAAAGAAAGAAGAGGTTGATTTTCAATGATGTGATGCAGATTTTAAAACTACACCAGTAAATATCCAAATGACATGTAACGAATAAGACAAAAAAAAAAAAAATCAAAGAATATGAGACTTTGGTTTGAGAACCCTAATTGGGATCACGGGCTAAATACTGATACTTAGGTTCTCTACTAAAAGTCCTCAAAATGGGGGTCGGGCGTGGGGCTCACATCTGTAATCCCAAAACTT